TTCACTGGCTCCCAATTCCTCAGAGAATCGAGTACAAAACCCTCGTTCTTACCTTCAAGGTCTTCCACTGTCTTGCTCCCCCTACCTCTCCGACCTCATAACCCCATATCATCCTGTCTACTCCCTCTGCTCAGCGGACACCAGCCTGCTTCAGGTCCCCCACATTTCCCGCCCCACCATTGGCAGTCGGGTATTCAGCATTTCTGTCCCCACACTCTAGAACTCTATTCCACAATCCCTCCACCTCATCCCCTCTCTTACCTCCTTCAAGTCCCATTTGAAGACCTTGGACTTCGACCATGTCTTGAGCCACACTCCCATCCCCACCCACCCACCCTCCTTCCCTTCTGACCCCAACTCCCTGCTCGGGTCCAAAATCCATGATTGTCCAGTGCTCGGGAGGTCTTTCCGAAGTGAAGAGCACTGTACAAGGTTAATTTGTTATTGTGGTTCATTGTTTAGCCTCGCTCAGTTGGTTGCATCAGAAGGGAGTCAAGCCCCATGTTGAGACTTGAGCATATAGTCTAAGCTGACACTGCAGTGCAGTGCTGGAGAACTGCTGCATTGTCAGAGGTGTGTCCTTCAGATGAGATGTTAAACCAAGTTCCATTTGCCTGTTTAGATTGAAATTAAATATCCCATCACACAATTCAAAAAGAGAAGGGAGTTTCTCCTGGTGTCCTGAGTAACAATCCCCCAGATGAATTGATCATTCACTTCATGGCTGTTTACGGCATGTTGGTGCACACAAATTAGCTGCTGTGTTCACCTACAAATACACCCTCACCACGCCTCACAGAAACATGAAGCGCTTGATACATTAGACATTATATCAAATGAAAAGACTATTATTATTACAACTTTAAAAAAGGAAAGCAACCATCTGTGCATGGTTATGCGAAACACAATTACAGTAAAAGGGGCTGATGCCATGTCAATGAACTCTGCTCAAAAAGAGCTCAATAAATGTCTAGTTAGGAACGGAATGAAGGTAATAGGATAAATATAGATAGAGGTAATCAAATACTATTGGAAATATAGAGCTTTGACGCTTGTACAGGACAAATGTCATCTGTGGGAAGCAAATGGCCAGAGTTAATTGATGTATCTTTTAGTTTCAGTACATATTCTGCAGTTTCACTTGGTAATCAATTAGAAGACAGAGAAATCTTGCAAAAAGTTTTTTTCAGCAAATACATTAGCGTAAGCGGTTCCATGATATGATCACTGGTACATGATCTATAGAAGGAACAGACCACATGGCCTTATTTTCCTTTACTCTTGCATCTTCTGTAAGAGAAGCCTTGTTACTGTGTGGTGTGTTATAGGCTATTCCATTCAGAGATAGGGGTGATGGGGATGAGTTTCCATTTGTATCAATTTTGTGCATATCACATGACCTCATGGCTATTTCTGGCACCTTGCTGGGCACAAAATGGCTGTCACATCTGCTTATAAATCTGTAAAGTGCTTTGAAATGTTTTGAAAGATTAGGCACTATAAAAAGTAAGTTCTTCCTTTTTTTCTTTTTGCTTTATTTGTTGCTGTCTCACATTGTCTGTACATAGTGACTGACGAGTGAAACAACTCTCCTGGGTCTGTTTCCCTCTTGGTAATTCCTTCCATCCAATAGAGAACACTTGGCTCTTATTTTTACTTTTAAAATGCAAGATGGTTCATCTGCACTAGTTGAAGCATATTTGGTGCATATTGATAAGCCTCAGTCAATATTATTGAGCTCCCTTAGTAATGAAGAAACCCAATGGTGGGTCCCGCTTTCTCCCTGTACTGACAGACAGAGATGCCAAACCAAGGCATAATGAGAGAAAAGCTGAGGGTTGCTCAAATCAATGGCTCAGCAATCACTGGGCACCAATTCAAAGCTTGGTGACCAAAGACTGTTAGAATGATGACATTACAATTATAATTTCAGATTTCAGGGCACATCAGTCAAGTGCAAGTGTTTTGTTTGGCAACACCAACAACAATAACTTGCATTTATATAGTGCCCTTCATGCAGGGTAGCACTTCACTGTGCTTAACAGTGGCGGAGCCTGAGTCCGAGCTGGGTGTGGGGAAATGGCCATAAGCACGGTCGAAGAGGAAGGTTTTCAGGTGGGATTTGGAAAAGGGGAGAAAGGGAATAAGGTGGAGATTGAGGGAGAGTGTTCCAGAGTTTCGGGGCGTAGAGCCTGAAAGCGCGACCTCCAATAGTGGGGCAGTGGGATGAGCAGGAGGCCGGTGCCAGTTGAGTGGAGGCACCGGGTGGTGGATTGGGGAGTGAGGAGGTCGGAGAGGTAGGGAGGTGCCAGAGAGTGAAGGAATTTGAACACGAGTTTGAGGATCTCGAAGTCGATCCATTCGGTGATGGGGAGCCAGTGCCTATGGGCAAAACCATAGACAAGTTTCTTACTCCACACATCTCTGATTACCTAGCTGCAAGTAGGAATCTGGTTGTTGATTGATTTGCAAATCACTTTCTGGGAGTAATAATCCCTTCAAAACAATAATAATAATTTGGCGACTCAATCCCCGACTGTCTATGGGACACTGCTGTGTTTTGCCCACAAAATATACAATTAATTCACTTCACATTATATTCTGTGAAGCGCTTTGAGATGTCTCGACAATATGATAAGGTGCTGTATCAAATGCAAGGATTATTATTATAGCACCTTTCACATCAGGATGTCTCAAAGCACTTCACAGGATATTTTATAAAGTGGAGTGACTGTATGTTTTGTTGGCGAATGCAGTAGCCAATGTGCACATAGCAATTTCCCACAAACAGCCATGAGGTGAATGACATAATTTATTTATGGAATTGTTGGCCAGGCCACTTGGTGAAACTCCCTCCTTGTTTTTAATATGTCTTTGAGTTATCCGAAAACAGTCTTGGATTGAGTGATCACATTTTCCACCTGAACATCCACCTGAACAGGCAGATAGTTTAACATCTCATCTGAAGGACGGAACAAATAAATTGCTGTAAATCAAAGTTTGAGGATAAATTCTGTTTATAGCCCAGTAAAAAGTATAAATTCAGCGGAATTTAGATTTAGTCTCAGGCCTCTGTTCAGTAATAACAAGGCTGTAGGACATAATCCTTTTCTGAGATTTGACTTGAAGAACATGTTAGGGGAATAATAATAATAATAATAATAATCCTTGCATTTGATATAGCGCTTTTCATTTCGGGAGGACGTCCCAAAGCGCTTCACAGAATATACTGTAAAGTGAGTTGACTGTATATTTGTGGGCGAACGCGGCAGCCAATTGCGCACAGCAATGTCCCACAAACAGTCGTAGATTGAAAATGACCAATTTAATTATTGTTTTTGTTTTTTGGAGGGATTATTATTAGGCGTGTGGAGTAAGGAAACTTGCCCAAGGTTTCGCCCTGCCTGGAATTGAACTCAGGTCTCTCGCTTGCAAAGCGAGTGCTCTAACCACTGAGCTACAGAGGATAAACTACATCCACAAAATAGACAGTCAAAACACTTGACAGTATATCCTGTGAAGTGCTTTGACACATCTTGACAATGTGATCAGATGCTATATCAAATGCAAAGATTATTTGTGGAATCCTGTAGCGTATTGGTTAGAGCACTCGCCTTGCAAGCAAGAGGACACAGGTTCAATTTCTGGGGGGGCAAATCCTTAGGCACGTTTCCTTACTCCATACGCCACTGATTACCAAGCAGTAAGTAGGAATCTGGTTGTTTGTTGATTGATGGATCACTTTCCGGAGGTAATAATCCCTTAAAAAAATGTGATCACTCAATCCAAGACTGTTTGCGGGTCACTGCTGTGTGCAATTGTCTACCGCGTTTCACCCATGATATATACAGTCACTACACTTTACAATATATTCTGTGATGCGCTTTGAGATAACTTGAAGATGTGAAAAGGTGCTATATCAATGCAAAGATTGTTATTATTATCTGGTATCTTGTCCTTGACTCTTCAAGGACTCTTTAAAGGCTGTCACTTGATGCATAAATGGAATGTTTCCATTGCCATCAATATTCTGAATGCATGATGATGGAATTTCCCTATTGTAATTTAACCCACTTCCCCACGCTTAAATGTCTTTAGTTACACGTAGGTTTTTTATAGGATATTGAGATAATTTAACAAAAGCCTTATCTTTTGAAGGACTCGCCAAAGTTGCTTTTCTTCTCTTCTTGTCTGCAGAAGATAAAAGGAGCATGTTCAATTAAATGTTTTACACAGAAAAGGTGGAAGTATTTGACATACATACCTGTGAAGCTGAATCCACAACTACATTCGAAAAGGAATTGGATAAATAGAGTGTTTGAATAAAATAATCTTAAAACGATATGGGGAAAGAGCAGGGGAATGGGATTAGTGAATGGCACCAGTCAGCGAACCAACACCATTGTGCACTCAGTGAGCTGAATGGCTTCTTCAGTGCTGCAAAGATTTTATAAACCTCTCCTTGATACAGTGACTCATGTTTATAAATAGATTCCTGGATGACAGCAATGGCTCAATGACAAGAAGTATAACCGAATCTTAGCCTGTAAAACATTTTTGTTTCAAATTTGAAGATGGCAACAAAAAATTTTAAATTCTTAAATTCAGACTTAATGTTGTATTTAAGAACCTATTCGAATTGAAGAAGGTTCTACAATTCCATAGCTTCACAAATTTTAAGACAAAATGGTCTCACAGGCTAAGTCTAGGTAGAATTTCGAACCATTGTGGCCATTCTTGTTCTGAGGATGAACTATCACAGTCAAACTAGTCTGATCTTCACTCACGGTCTGTGCTACCAGCAGGGGTCACTGGATTGCAACCGCAGGCACAAATCCTGGCTGATGTAGGTTTTATGTCCTTAGGCCAGGGTCACTTTCTTGTAGACTCTGATTTTTAGTTCATCTTTCACTTAAAAAGTTATAAAATTATTTCCTGTACTTCAGTAGAAAACTTTATTTACCTGGGCATTGGGTTACAATATTATGCTCTTTTTTCAGGTGCTCAATATCTGAAGCAATATCTTTGCAAGATCTGAATGTAACAACTGAACTTGAAGGCAGAAAAAAACACCAGAGACCATCATGGACTTTGTTATGAAGCAAGCTTTAGGAGGTAAGTGTGTTTTGTATGAAATCCTGTTTGTAGCTAGATCAGCTAGACCGGCACTAGTAAGTATATACGGTAGAAACCCGGTATGCAGTCACCTCAGTAATCCAGCCACCTCACAACTGTGGGCACATTTTCACAGCCTCTTTCACTGTCAATATTAAAAGATAGTCTGTCAGCTTCAGTAAACCAGAGACCCCACTATTCAGGACAACAGTCATTGATTGTGGCCACTACAGCTCCCTCTTCTGTTTCGAACCCATTACAAACACCCTCCTCCGCTACTAACCTGTATACAGTCCGCTAGGCCTTGGGCCGCTCGCGCTGTTTGGTCGACACTGCTACTGTGGGCAGAGTAGGCTCCAGCTGTGCACGTGCGGCGTGGGGAGTGTTGGGATCGTGGAAACGGCGCGAGTGGAAAATTGACTGCTCCGGCACCTGAGGCCTAACCTGAGCTCCTGCAAACACTGAGTACTTGGATGAGGGACCAGAGGAGCGTTTAGTGGAGGAGTTTGTACCAGGGACACTGAGGAACAAGACACACAGGAGAAGGAACAGGAAGAGCAACCTACAATATCAAAGCCCCCTCTCACTTATGTTAATGCACTGGGTTTGTTGGCACAAGTGAAGGACTTTTTCCTTGTTCATGGACTTGAGTTGTGCCAGACTTTGGCTGATACTGAGGGTCAGCTGCTGGCCAAGGCAGTGCAGGTTAAATCAGCAGCCAGGCAAACAATGCTCGTCTTTTTCTTCAAGAAATGAACACTGTGTAATTTTAACTTTTCATGTGAACTTTAAATAATGAAATCTAAGATCTGTTTTAAATGTGAAAGTGCCTTTATTTTAATGAGTTTGCAAAGTATGGTTGTTGAATGTTCATCACCCTTATCCATTACCAATGCGTTAAATATTATATCAGTGACGTGAATCACCCGCCCTGTTTCAGTAATCAGGTCACCTCACTAAATAGATCACTTTTGCCCAGTTACTTGAGTGACCGGATTAGTGAGAATCTACTGTATAACACAAAAGAGACCAAATCTGCCTTTCCTGTGTTCATTAATTTTAGCAGAAGTATAGATGGGGTCAAATGTGGTTCCTGTCATACTTAGCACATTTAATGGGCCTCCTCCTGTCACCATGATATTCTCAAAGGTAAATCAGTAGATTCTACTGCATTGGAATTCTGGTTTATGTGTTCCAGTTACGGCTGCTCTATGGAGGGATATTGACTCTTTTATGTAACTAATTATTTTCCTCAATTTGGCAGTGAAAGGGAGAGACGTATGTGCATAATCCATCAAGTAAAACCTTTGCTACCTCCTCTGATTCCACAGTTCCCCCGTCATGGTGTCATCTGCAAACTTAACTATTGTATATTGGGTTTGTGAATCGAATTCGTTAATATATACAAGGAATAGGAGGGTTCCAGTCCAGAACCCAGATGGACCTTGGTTAATATATCTCCGCATTTGGAGCTACATTCTTAGCATCAGCCATCTGTCTCTTTCCCTTCAGCCAATATTGACGTATGTCCATATTTTGCTGTTATTTTCTAGCAATGTCAGTTTGTGAAGGAGTCTTTCATGGGTTAAACACTTTTTGGAAGTCTAGATATACTATCTATGACATATGGCTTATCAATAAAAAGGTAAAGCAATAGAAATGCATTAAAAATACTAAATAAAACTAGTACAGAAATCACAAAGAGAAAACAATTTTAACCAATGTTTAAAGAGAAGATTGAAGAAGTATTTCTTTACTCAGAGGGCAATTAACAACTGGAACAGAGTTACCAGAAAAAAACACAAGAATATGCAGTCTACAAAGAGTTAAGAGAAATAAGAATAAATAAATACAAAGGGCCAAAGGAATGACAATGATGGTGAAAGAGAATTGATTCATTTGTTACGAGGAATAAATCAGCTTTATTATGGTTAGTGAAAAGTTTGTACAATACCTACTAGGACTGGAATACAATGTTTTATTGACCATCAAAGCATAAGAGATACATGCCTTTCCATCTAATCTGTTTAAACTGGGATCAAGCATAGGTCTCTGCTTTGTTCTCACAGATTGTGCCATTCCTGCACCTGCAATGTCATAACATGGTGAATAATAGTGAACAAAATACTGTATACTCAAATAAATTTGTAGCTTCTGCTAACTATCTGAAAACAGAATGTGTAAAGAGGGAATTGCAGAATACCTTTAATTACATTAACCACCAATGTGAAGGTTTCCTGGTTATTCTCCCAATTCTTTCCATCAGTTGTTGATTACATAACTAAGTATGTCTAAGAGGAATGGAGGCTTGATTAAACACTGGCCGAATACCCTGTTTCCATGTTGTAACGCTCTGTATAATTCGATATAATTCTGTTTCTCTCCTTACACACCGTTTCTACGTTGCTAGCACAAACCATACATTAGATTCCAGTACGACTAAACTATCTTGGAAAACACTGGGCTATTGGCTGTTAACTGCTAGCTATTTGGTATGCAGCCCACATACAAGCTGATCACTATGTTGTGAGGGTGGTGGGGGGAGTCACTAGTTCTCATCCTTCAGTATTTGTGATTGTATATTCTTACATTTGTTTTACTGTTGTACAACACAATGTCGGTAAAATAAAATTACCTGCTTTGGAGTAGACAATAATTGAATGAGTGAACTAGGGAAATGTAAAACCCTTGGTAACTGATTGAAATCATGTGAATTATTTTCTAGTTCTAATACCTCTTTAATTCTATATCAACATTATCGTCCCCCTCCTACAATCACAGACCCTTATACGTATACTATATACTTAAAAGGAATTAAGAACAAGACAATCAAATCGTAGGGAGAGGTTGAAATGTACAGGGATAAAGTGATTTTACAGTGTGTCTTCAATAAAAATGCTTTTAAGAAAGAAGATGACTGTTACAAATGGAGGTGAGAACATAAGAACATAAGAAATGCTAGACGAAAAAAAACAAGGTCTATCTAGTTCGCCTTCCACCTTCCTGGTGGTCACATGTAGATATGTCCCAAACTACCTATGTACTATATCCCATAATGTTATTTCCTAAATAAAAACAATAATATAACTAACAACTGGGTTCCTACTTACTGCTGGGTAAACAGATGCATTTGGAGTAAGAAAACTGTCCTAGCTCAGTCGTTAGAGAACTCACCTCGCAAGTGAGAAACCTGGGTTTGATTCCTGTCTGGGCAAAATCTTGGGCAAGTTTCCTTACTCCAAACGCCTGATAATAATACCTCAAGAAAAAAAACAATAATAAATTGGTCAGTTCAATCCATGACTGTTTGTAGGACACTACTGTGTGCAATTGGCTGCTGTGTTTCGCCCACAAAATATACAGTCAATTCACTTTACAGTATATTCTGTGAAGCGCTTTGAGAAATCCAGAAGATGTGAAAAGCACTATATCATATGCAAGGATTATTATTATTATTATAAGGTTATAAATGAATATTTGTTATGTGCAGTAATATCAAGAAACTCCTTAGACTTTAGCTGTTTTGTGTACAATTTGAAGATTAGCACTAAGTAATAACAAATTCCATAATATTTCAGCATTTTTTTGCACAACTGTTTTGCCCCTAATACACTGGGTGGGGGTGGGTGTAAATCTAACTGGGTAACGCTGCTCTTTACTAAGTGCTGAATGTTCGCTGGGTTTTGATTACTGGTGGAGCTACATTTGCTAAGGGAATGATTTGATAGATTTAGAGGTCAGAATGTGCTGACTGGAGGGATATGCCACAGAATGCTGAAATAGGTTTCATTCCATTAAGCAGTCTTGAGATAAGGCCATTGATCAGAATCATGGCCCTGAAGGCTGCATCGATAAAAAAATGATTAAAATCCAATGAAGTGTGTGTAAAATTATGGGTATGAATTCTTGAGTGCTGTGCCCTTTCAGGAAGATTGAGATATGCCATATGTTGTACGCATACCAATGATTTTAGAGAACTTGGCAAAAAGCTGAAGAATTTGCTGAATGTAATGCAAAAATATGGACCAGAGGCTTTACCGAAACTCCAGATAGTGAAGGTAAGTGCCCTTTTCTTTTATCTTTATGCTTCACCAGTTTAACCAGACAGAGAAGGTCTGCTCTTAAAGATCCAGAAGAGTCAAGTAGTTTGAATTTGGGTTTGACTATCCAGTGAAATGATGACCGATTGCCTGATGACATCTTACCAGACATATCCAGTTTCTATTATAGTCTTACTATTATAATTCAGTTCTTATTTTGTAGTCTGTGACCCTTTTAATCATCAGTTTGCTGCTCCTGAATATATTCACTTCAAAGTTTCATTTTTTGCTCTTTTTTGTGTTGATCAACACATTATAACTAGAATGAATTAGATTTTGAATCTTGATTTGTATTTTTTCAGCTGTATTATTTAAGAACCTCTTGGTCTGTTCTGTGTGTATGTTTATTTTTGCATATACTGTACGGTAAACAATTTGGTGATTGATGGACCTCTAGGTCTTTTAATCTTCCCATTTACATATGTGTATATATTATGTTCATATAGTAAGAATTAAGTCAACATTGCAAACAGATAATACATTCATCTTAAAGAAATGTTTTGCAGCTGCCTGTGATGGAGAGGGGAATAGAGAGATATCGGAGAAGGGCTTGGGAAAGGGGATTGGAGGGGTTTGAGAGAGGGGAATAGAGGGGTATGGGAGACAAAATTAGAGAAGTAAGGGAGAGGGGAACAGAGTGATACAATAACAACAAGATTACATTTGCATAGTGCCTTTCACGTCAGGAGGATGTCCCAAGGTGCTGATAAAGGGGTAGAGGAGTATGGGAGAGAGAAAAAGTGTGGTCTGAGAGATCAGAATAAAGGGGTATGAGAGAAAGGATGAGAGAGGTATAGAGAAAGGAATAAAGGGGAATAGGAGAGGGGAATAGGAGGGATGAAGCCACATTGGGAGTACAAGCACTGGTAGGAACTAGTTGGTTTTAATGGCCTGTTTTTG